CTTTGACCACCGATGTGTGGAAGAGCCGTGGCCAGCCTGCTGCCTGGCGCACATGCCTGAGACACGTGAGTGCGGCTGTTCTAGGCCATCTCCTCCAGATGGCCATACAGATCAGCTAAGTTGACCTGGACCAGATGGGCTGCCTGGCTGACCCACCGAACTTGGAAAAAATAATGAGTGTTTATTTAGGTGACCTGAGTATTGGGGTGGGTCGCAAAAGCATATTGAAATAGAGCCCAGCATTGCCAGATGTTATGACCTTTCAAAGAGAAACCAGAAGTTCAAATTTTTGTGTAAGCTCCAGTTAAAAAAAAAAAAAAAATTGAATTAGTAGCCAGCATCCATAAAGCACTCTCTGGGCCAAACAAAACACATCTTTAGGCTGCCCTTGGCCTGCAGGTTGTTGGTCTTTCTGCACAGAGGGACGTGAGGTGTTTATACTAACAGCTAATTGCCATCTATTCTCTCACCCATCTTCCCGTGGCTGCTATGCCCCAGCTTACCCTTAGCAGCTAGCTGTTTCTTTATATGAAATGTCCACAACATACTTCACAGCCCGGACTTCTGCTGGCAGTCTTTCCACTTGGAAATGGAAACTTCTGGTATTTCCAGTCTTCGTAGAGGAAGTGAGATTTGAGATGGGCCCGCAAAGAAGGAAAGTTCTAGAAAGGATACTCTTGGTTTTTACGTGAACAAGAGATCAGGCGCGGAAGTGGGGCTGGTGGTGGGGCCGTGGATGGCACACCCACGAGTTGTGGCCAGAGAAGAGGGTTTCTGTAGGGAATTGAGGGTGACAAAGTTGGAGACAAGGGAGATTGTGGAGCCCCTAAATGCCAAGCCAGAGATGTCACATTAGAGTCTGTGGGCAATCTATGTAAAGAGAAGTCAGAGGAGGGAGATTGTGGAGCCCCTAAATGCCAAGCCAGAGATTTTACATTTGATTCTGTGGGCACTCTATGCAAAGAGAAGTCACTAGAAGCTTTTGAATGGGAGTTGGATAGGAAAGCACCGATCACCTCTGTTCCAGGCATCCGTGTGCTTGTAACCTGTGGGGGGAAAGAAGGGAGGCCGAGAGAGAGACAGACAGAAAGGACAGTCCTTGTAGTGAGGGAAAAACTGAGATGAGGGAATTTGCCTTAAAATTTATGGCAACTTCTTTTTACCTTAGGTTGTGGTTAGTTAGGTTAATTGTCTTCTATATCTAAATAGGGCATATCGGCTTTTTTCAAAGCACTTCTGTCAACAACTTCATCAAGGTTCTTGTTTGACTTAAAGGTGTCTGGAGCTTCCAGTTTATTCCTACACTGGGGGCTTAGGGAAGGAACTTCCTTGCTCTCTACTGAGAGCCTCTGGAAATGATGATTCCCTCCCCCACCTCCCACCCCGCCCTGTGCATTTTCTTCCCTAAGTGATTCCCTAAGTGATTCTAAGTTATTCACCTTTCCTCAGAATGCAAGTTTACAGGGTTGAGAGGGCCAGAGGAGAAAACACACAAATCTTAAACGCATTTTTAAATCTCGGGGACAGGAAAGGCAATGTCACAGCTTCGAGAAGAGGAGAAAAAGAAAGTCAAGAGAAGTCAGTTATTGCCATAGCGCCATGAAGATGCAAAACATGCAAGAAGCAGTAGTAAAATGGCCACGTTTAGACCAGTGATTTTCCATCTTGACTGCATATTGGAACCCCCAGGGAACTTTCCAAATTCATCCTGGGTCTCACCTTCCTGAGATTCTGATGTGGTTGGTCTGGGCAAGGAGAGCTTTGCAAGCAAAGCTCTGAAGGTGGTGGTCTGAGCGGTGGGAGTTCTAGAACTACTCCCCTGGCAGCCACTGGTGTCTTCCCTAGGTGGGGGCTGCTGCTTTGAGGTGCAAAACCATCTATTAGCTGCCTGGGGGGGGGGCATTGCTATTTGGTCTTTGCTGTTTTCATGGTAGATATGGGCAGTGGTTCCCATATAAACTTGAAGTATGCAGTTTTGAAACAGCATGTCTGACACAAGCCCATTCTTGGGTTGGATGAAAATGATTTGTTTTATGGAAAGATACCAATGACCTTAATACCAGTGAGAATGCTCATTATAGTCAGGTTGCCTGTTAAGAGCACTTCTTCCCAAGGAAAAATGGGAAGGACCCTTAGGAGGTGCACGCAAACAGGATGGAGAGAGGGAAGATAGGTAGGAGCAGAAGACAGAGCAGATGAGGTTTTAAAAAGAGACATGTCGGAAATGCAATAGCTAAGGGTGGGAAAACTCTGAAACAATATAAAGGTAAATTTGCTGTTGTGAAAGTGTCAGCATATTTAAACATAACAGGTATGAATTCAGATGGCAAGGGGGGAGTTGAAAGAGGTGCCATGGTGCTTATTTCATTCATTCAGTGTGGGGAGCCTGGGTGATGACTGATGGAGGTGACCCCCAGGGTCTAGCTGGGTGAGGAGGGATTGCTGGTGAGCATTTTTTTTTTTTTTTTCTGTTTTCTACCTGGAGGCCATGTGGATAATGCATCTCAAATCCACAATTGTCAAACTCCTTTTGTACGGACAAACTTTCACTGGGACTGAAGGAATGTTAGTAGTATCATTTTTTTTTTTCAGTAATTTTTTTTTTTTTTTGAGATAGAGAGAGAGAAGTGCGAGTGGGGGAGGAGCAGAGAGATGGAGACACAGACTCCGAAGCAGGTTCCAGGCTCTGAGCTGTCAGCACAGAGCCTGATGTGGGGCTCGAACTCACGAACTGTGAGATCATGACCTGAGTGGAAGTCAGATGCTTAACCGACTGAGCCACCCAGGCGCCCCCCAAAATATTTTTTAATGTTTACTTATTTTTGAGAGAGAGGGAGAGAGAGAGAGACAGAGAGACAGAGCACAAGCGGGAGAGGGGCAGAGAGAGAGAGGGAGATACAGAATCTGAAGCAGGTTCCAGGCTCTGAGCTGTCAGCACAGGGGTTTGAACCCATTCATGGGGTTTGAACCCACGAATCATGAGATCATGACCTGAGCTGAAGTTGGACGTTTAACTAACTGAGCCACCCAGGTGCCCCCGTAGCATCATCTTTTTAAATTGGGAACAATTAAATTGGCTTTAAGAGATTTTGCTTTAAATATATCTATGTCTGTGTCTATGTCTATATCTGTATCTATAAACACAGGGCTTGATCTCATGACCTGGGCTGGAATTAAGAGTTGGACACTTAACTGACTGAACTGCCCAAGTGACCCTAAATATGTTTTTTACACTTGATCTTAGCCAAAAGGCTGAGAAGTGATCCTAAATATATTTTTTAAAGGAAGGCCTTAATATCTTAATTCTTTGCTGTCCCAGTATGATCGATATGAGGCTTAATGAAACTTTCTTAAAATCTCGGGGACAGAGATTTTATATCTAAAATAGATTTCTGAGCATATCCTGGGGGGACTCTAGTGTTCCTCAGTGTTCATGATGTTCAATGGAAAAATAATTGGCATTAAGAGATTGTCTACTAAAATGTTTTTAATATGTAAAAGAAAAACGTGTGTTAAGTGTTTAACACATTTGTATGGTACTTTTTAGTGTTTAGTAACCTGCTTTTAAAAATTTGCTGCACCAGCCCTGAGAATGCACATGACTCAGGAGGTGATGGGTTCTTACAGTGGTTAATTCATCTTTGAGACTTTTGTTCCACATCTATTTTTAATCAAAACCTTTATCTTTGTTTTGGGGCAATTTTTAACAGCTTTAGTGAGCCATGATTGATATACATTAAACTACACTTACTTGAAGAGTGTAGTTTGATGAGTCTTGGTGAGCCTTGGTATCACAAGGAAAACACTTGGGATAGTAATACCACATTCAAGGTAATGAATGCATCTGTCACCCCTACGGATTTCCTCATGCCTATTTGCAACCCACCCCTCTCTCCATCCCCTCCTCCCCCTGTCCCCAGGCAACTGATCTGGTTTCTGCCACTATAGATTCATTTGCATATTCTAGAGTTTTGTATACTCGTGTAGTAGGTGTTCCTTTGGGAGATAGGAGTTAACTTCTTTCACAGAAAACTTATTTTCAGATTCATCCATTATGTTGTGTGTATCAGGAATTCATTCCTTTTTATTGCTGAGTAGTCTTCCATGGCATACATATATCACATTTTGTTTACCCATACGTGTATCTGTGTACAATTTGGTTGTTTCTGGTTTTCGCCTCTGAAGTTTCTAGTTTTCAACTATTTCAAATATTTGCATACAGCTTCAGAGTGGTGTTCTCACATAGCCACATTCTTGGGTTGGATGTAAAGTCTCTATGTAGACATATGCTTTCTTTCTCTTTGGTAAATGCTTAGGAACGGAGTGGCCCCAAAACTACCAAATTGTTTGCCAAAGTAAATGAACCGTTTTCTATTCCTACCAACACTGTGTGAGAGTTCTAATTGCTTTACATCCATGTCAGCTCTTGGTAGAGTCAGTCTTCAGTGTTAGACATTGTTTAGTCTTAGTGGATATGTAGTGGTAGTTCATTGTGGCTTAAATATGTATTTCCCTCATGACTAAAAATGTTGAGCATCTTTTTATGTGCTTATTTGCCATGCATATATATATATATATATATATATATATATATATATATTTTCTTTGGTGAAATGTCTCTTAAAAGACCTATCTTAGTAACTAATGTTTGTGTTTTTTAATGCAATATGACTTACTTTTTTAAGTGTTGCAATATGAAATAAATTTAGGAAATGCAGTCCTACAGTGTGTACAAATATATACTTTTGTCCAAAGTTTGGAATCTTTTGACCTCTCTGAATACTAGCTGCATTTGCAACATTGGCTTGCTTGACCAATGGTAGATCTCCATTCCAGTCCATACAGGACGATGTCCTGTGTTTTGAGGAGGTAACTCTGGTAATTGAATGGATAATCGGGTTTTTTTCCTCCTAGAGGACGAAGGAAGGTCTAAATAGCTAGTCTGTTTGTATGTGTTCTTTATCTCATTTATACAGAATCAGAAATGTGAGTCATCGCCCATGGGGCTCAGCTGTACTGGTCATGAGGAGATGTAAAGTCAAATCTCAAGATGCCCCTCTGGCTGGTTGGATATTATCAATCATTTTAAATTATAAGAATGTTGGCGAGAAGCAGGAAACATGGTGCTCATGTACTATTTAGAGGCATATCAAAGGTGTAACTTTGGGGGAAACAATTTGGTGGTATCTATCAAAATAAAAAAATGCAAAGACCTTTCATCCACAAGTTCAACTGTGTCCTACAAGCACACTCATATGGCACAAAGATATGCATGTGTGTCTGTGTGTAATACATATTTTAAAAAATCCAACGTAATTGTGTTTGAAATAGAAAGAAAAGGGAGACACTACTTAAAGGAAGAGGCATTTGTTGAAAAGAACGGGGTAGATGTGTATATATTGTCATGAAAAAAAAATGTCCAGAATATATGGAGTGAGAAAAATAAGCTTTGGACCATATGAAAATAATTTTATTGTTTTTAAATTATGTGTATATGTAGAGCGGGGGTCATACCTTGAGAAGGAGTTAGCTTCAAAAGTCATCAAAAAAGGCAATAATTTATTTATTTATTACCCTTGAAAAACACTCTAACCACTCATCAAGTACCCTAAATATAATTTTGTGTTTATCTGTTTGTGTGTATATAGCCGTATATATGTTGGTATAAACGTGCCATTTAAGTACATTTATACGTACTACTCAGTGCTTTCTCGTTTCTTCCTCTGAGAGCACACATTACAGGGCACACAGTTTGAATTCAGAAAGGTTAAGCGTGCCTGTGTCTCAGCCCCACCTCAGGTCCCAATGCCCAGGAAAGCACATACAGTACTCTGAAGGTTGATTACCTCTGGCGAGAGTGAGGTGGTGCGGGGAGAGAGGGAGGAGGGTTTCCTTTTGTACATATACATGAGAAAGAGAAGTGCCCTTTCCTCTTCTGATTGTTGTTCTCTCCTTACTTTCTCCCAACGAGGACCAGAACCTTCTCCTGGCAGCTGCCTATGTTTCTGATGCCCAGTACAACAGAAACGTTCCATTTGAAACGTCTCCTCGGGCCATCAGGTAAATAAAGTATTAAACTGTCTCCTAGAGCAACCTGTCCTTTAGTACTTACCAGTCTTGAAGTTGAACCCAAACTGAAGACATTGTCTCCACAAACATTTTGAGAAGTCTCTAGGATAAGGCATGGAGATTTGGATAAAATCCTAACATCCAATGCTTTTATTTTTTTTAAGTTATAAGAGCATGGTGTCTCACACATAGGGAAGCACTCAATAAATACATTAAGGACAGATAAATGAGTACATGACTAACATATAGAGCAGGAGATAGGGCATCTGAAGTGAATCACATCATCCTTTCCGTGTAGATAAGGTTGTCCTCTTAGAGCCACTTAGGCGAAAAGACTTGTTCTTTTTCTTTCTGGTGCCTTCTGATGCAATCTATATATTTGTTCTTTTCGTAAGAATCATGCCTTTTCTCTCCCACCCCCTGAATGTTGAACTAAGACCAATGATTTGGCTCAAAATAAGGAGAAAACATCAGGGCTCCGTGCCAGTGCCTCCAAAGCAACGAATAGACGCACGCCTCATTCCTGGAAGCTTCGAGCAGGTTGGGGAGACTGTCCCCCACCCCTAGGAAGAGAACTGTGTGACCACAAGATCTCTCTGAATCTACCATGTTGAGATGGGGTGGTGCACATTTAAATTGGTTAGGCTGCCATGCCACAGCATAATAGGTCACTTTAACTGAGGGTTTACTGTGCATCAGTCACCGTTCAAAGTCCTCTGAAAGTATTCTTTTTATTACGGTCACAACCGCTATGCAGGAGGTACTGATCATAGCTTGAGACACTTAAGAGACTGTGGTTTGAGATGCGATACTATTGTTGCCTTTTTTTTTCCGTTCGTGTTTTGTAATGTGTGCTCAATTCAGTGCTGTCCCTTGCTCCCTAAGATTTAAAGGAAATGTGGCCAGAGCCCTATTTTGCATTTTGCCCACCGTTAGTCTTTTGGTGGGAAGTGTGAGTTTTGTTTAACTCCTGCTCCTTGTATATAAACACCTTTATTCTTTTCATCTTCAGACTTTACTATTTTTATAACCACTGGACAATGCAAGTAGCCATCTACTTCTTTATTTGTGTCGACCTCTCTCTCGCCCTGTTTGAAGAACCGGCACTGTTTCCCCTGCCTTTCTTGGTAAGGATTAAAAACAAAATGGCTAACCAGACTTTGTCATTGATGAGTTGGGCCCCATGCCTTCTTCCTTTTTTTTTTTCCAAATTTCAATAAATACGAGTGTGGTTTTCTTTTATTACTATTTTTAAATGTTTGTTTATTTTGAGAGAGAGAGAGAAAGAGAGAGAGGGCGCTTGTCCGCACCTGTGTGTGCACAGGGGAGGGGCCAAGAGAGGGAGACAGAGAATCCCAAGCGGGCTCCTTACTGTCAGTGCAGAGCCTGACTCTGGGCTCAAACTCAAACTCGTGAACTGTGGGATCATGACTGGGGCCAAAATCAAGAGTTGGATGTTTGCCTGACCGAGCCACACAGGTGCCCTGGATGAGGTTTTATTTTCATTGCTGGGGTTTGTTTGGAAGAACTCTGCCTACTAGCTGAGCTGATGCTTCCGTCTTAATTATAAGGCATTTTAAATGGAGTAGAGGTTTTTGTCTTCTGTGTCCGCAGGGATGAATTGGGTAGACAAATGATATTTTCAGAGCGTATCCATGAAAGGGCGAATAGACAATGTCATAATTTAGTGTGGTACGCAACTTGTACTTGCCACGTTTCCAGCTTTTTTTTCATAGTCCTAAATCACTATTTATTGGCACTTAGCAGCTGGTCACGTACGGTTTTGAGTAATCGCATCAAATTCACCAGCTACTCCGGCTCGGTCCAAGTATGAAATTGATGATCCACTCATGTTAATTTCCCGACTTGATGCTGCCCCTGCAGTTGTCGTAGAGACTGGGTGACTGGCAAGGCCCAGAATATCTACGGTCTGGTCCTTCAACAGATAAAGTTCACTGACCCCTATCTTTATTACCTCCCCTGATTCTGTGGGTAACTGGGCCCAGGCCGGAAAGATATCCTGCTCCTGTGTCGTTAGCTGGGGTAACAATATCTGGAAGCTCCGTGGATCTCTGGAGCCTGGCAGGGGCTGCTGGCTGCGAGCTGGGAGCTTGCCTGGCTGGAGCCGTGGACCAAGTGCCCTGCTGTGTTACGAAGCTGCTGCATGTGGTGTAGGTTTCTCCCAGTGGGGGAGGAACAGGGCCAAGCAGGAGCATCCGAGTGTACAAGCCTCCACTTCCGTCAGCTCGTTGATGTCCTCTCGGCCAAAGCCCCTGAGATGCCGGAGCCCCGAGTTATCATGGGAGGACGCTGCGTACGGGGCTGAAAACTGGGAGCATGGTTCACTGGGGGCCACCAAAGTGATGGTGTAACACACTTCTGTATGATGAAGAGGCTACAATTAGTGAAGTCTCTGCATAGAAAACTTGTAGCCCAGTGACTATCAAAACAAACCGCAGAGTTGGGAGAAGCAGAGCTGTGCATTCAGAGACCCAGACAGTCAGTCCCTCCCTAGCACGGCCCACTCTGGACGCGATGAGACTTCCCTGGGGTTGTCTGCTCAGCCCCTTGCCTCTCTTCCCGAGTCCTCACCCTTCTGTTTGTTTTTGGTCACGTACAGCTTCAGGTTGGCTGAGTTCAGGGTGCTCCTTCAGCCGGTGTTTGGACGTCTGGTCTCTAGAATCGAATGTGTCATGGGGGGGCTTTGGCCCAGATGCAGCATTACCAAGCACATCTTATTTTGAGCAGAGGTGTCCTGGAATTGCCCCAGACCCTGTTGCAAGCCTGGCCTTGACAGGGAGTCTCTAGAGTCCTTCGAGGATGAATAGGCTGAGGGCTAGACGGTTCGGAAGCGGCTGTAGCCCATGTCCACGCCCAGGACCCATGAAGGCTGGGGTGGGGAGGGGAAGACTGTGTCAAGTGCTGCTTTCAGGGCCCAGTCTCCCCATCTCTTCGTACTGTGGCACCCTCCTCACCCCCTGATGAAGGCAAGTGTCCTTGTTGGGGAGGAGTTACCGCCTCAGGGAATCACAGGAAAGCCCGGGCTTCGATCACAGGCTGCCAGTCTAGCTGCCTGTAGGGATTTTGGAGCTGGTGTCCTGTAACCTACAGAGGAGACGGTCAGGACTTGGCACTGGGTCTCAGTGGCCTCCCTTCTTTCCTCTAAACCAGCCACACACGGGCGGAGGGCGGCAGTGGCACTGATGGCTAAGGAATGACCCACATCTCAAAACACGTCTTTGGGAGGTTACTCTCCTGTTAGAGAAACTGAACTTCTAGATGCCTTTTGTAAATATGAACTTGAAATTGGAGAGCACAGAAGATGCCTGTGTCTGCCGTCCCAGACCTCCTGTCTTCTGGGGAAATGCCTTCTGGGTGCCCTGCCTGCTGATCCAGCCCCTCCCAGGAAGCCCTCCCTGCCTGTTGGGTCATGGGATTCGTGACTCAAGGGCAGGTTTCCTCTTAAGAGGAAGAAACCATTCCAACTAGCACAGAATTTGACTGCAATTTGCCGCAGTCAAAAGGGACAGTGCTAATTCTTAGAGGGGGCATCAAGGTGGCTTGGGGGGCTGGGAGGGTTGTGAGAGAGCTAAAGCTGAACCTCCAAGAGGCGGGGCGCTGTGTTTAGTCTCTGTTTTCTCTGTGCAGGCTACCTCGTTAGCAGAAGTACTCTGTCTGACTGCATTCTTTGCGAGACTTGTACATTTTGCAAAAGTCACTCCTCAAATGGTTTTCTGGAAGGATACGAAAAACATCTGCATCATGGTAACCATCGTGGTGAGTGCTCATTATAGTACCCTGAAGATTTTGTGGTCAAAGGCAGAAACTATGAAGACAAAAGCCTGAATAGAGTTGATCTGGTTAAAGCAACAATGACAGACGTCGGCACAGCAAACACCATTAGCACAAATGCAAGCGGACCCCAAATGAAGAACAAACAGGGCAACGTATGACAGTGCGAGTGCTGTGTTTTAACATAGCAAGAGCACTTGTAAATTAAAAGGGGGGGAAAAAAAGAGGCCCCCCCAACAGGGCTGAAAATAGGTGAAGGCATCTCTTAAAAGAAAAATATAAATAATGGCAGATAATGAAACAATGTGTAACTTCACTAATTCAGAAATATATATCAAAACAACAATAAAATACCATGTGTGTGCCTATAAAACAGCGTTAGCAAGATGGAGAGGAAACAGAACCCCTGATACCCTCCTGGAGGGACGAGTAAGCTGTCTTTCTCGAAGGCTGTTTGGCAGTTCTTTGAAAAGCCTTAAAGGTGCTTACACTTGCACCCTGGAGTTCTATTCCTGGGACTTCATCGTTAGGAGAGAAGGATGTGTTCAAAGGTTTAGCTACAAGATTGGTCCATGGCTGAACCGTTCCTGATACTGGAAAAACTGGTAACAACGTGATTTCCCGACAATAGATATGTGTTAAATGAAACGTGGCACATCCACTCAGCCCTTTATAAACTAGTGTGAAAGCGACAAATGTCTATTACCAAGGCGAAGTGCTTACCATTCATGAAGCCAAAAGAACCAGTTACCACAGAGCCGGATCACGGTTTTGTTGCAAAGAACAAAAGGAAAGAATGGTACGCGTTCACAGAGAGATCTGGGAGGATATATGCTAAGCAGTCAGGCCAAGAGGGGCAGGGTAAGGAATTCCGAAAGGCTGCTGTTAGGGGCAGAGAGGCCCCTTCAGTGATTAGCTAAGGGTGCTTGATAACTAGCTTCTTACCGACCGCAGCAGCCGGCTTGCCTGAACCCTCATTCTTTCCAGTTCACCCACGGCTCAGTCTGCACGCCCCTAAGCCGTCCATTCTCAGAGCCCTCATGAACACTCCTAGGTAGGGGTCCCCGTGCTGTAGCCGATACTGGTTTCCCCTCTGAGTTTCTTTTGCCTGTGGCCCGCTGCTCGCCAGCCGTTTCTACATCTGTGTGTCAACGCAAACACAGTGGGACGAAACCCACGCCCTTTCACCCCTTGCCTCCCCTGGCTGTTTGCTTGCCGGTGGTGCCTTACGTCCCAACACCCAGTACCACGTCCTCCTAGTCCAGATTCTCCCCTCTCTCGCATCTGGCCTCCCCAGGGCCCCTCAGGACGCCTCTTGCCCTGTTTCATTCTCCGCACTTGGACTATCGCAGTCGTCTCTGATGTGGCCACACGCTGTCTCTTTGTTGCACGCCATTCTGTTCCCACGTCGTGGCACAGGCCCTGGTCACCCCTTTTGGGAACTGTCGTGGTCACCTCCACCTCAGATGCCCGATACGTGCATTTTAGATGCTGCCGCGGGATTAATTCTCCGGAAGCACGTCTCAGATCACTTCGCTCCCTTGCTGGAAAACGTCTGTCAGCGCCCCAAGACTATTCAGTGCCCTCCAGTCCTGCAAACGTGCTTCACTCTAGTTGGGACCTCTTCACTCTAGCTGGACTGAGTTGCCTGCTGCCCCACGCATGTACCACTCGCTCCTCCCCTGCCTGCGGTGGCTCTTTTTTGGCTGGAATGTCCACTGTCTTTCCTCACCTTGTTCTACATACGTAACTTGACTTCCCTTCACACATCTGCTGAACCCTCAGAATATGCAGACTACCTATCTGTACTTTTCTTATTTTTAGAAATATTTTCTGCTACTGAAAAGAAATATAGGCGCACTGTGAGTGTCTAAATATAGGTACCTATGAGCACAGGCTTGGGTTCAGTCTGTGACACCATGCTGCCTGATGCAGGACGGCGGGGGGACGGGGTGGGAGGGGAAGGAGGAGGCTATTTCTGGAAGAAAGAAATCCAAACAATACAGACTGTATAAAACAGAGGAAGACACTCCTGCTAATCTCCTCCAAGGAGACTGTGTGTGTCTTCCACGACCCTGTCTGCGGCTTGGCCCCTTACTAGGCCCCTTACTTGGCCCCTTACCTCTTCATCTCCTAAAACTCCTAGCACAGTGCCTCAAGTACGTGGGCGTGCAGGCACTCATAAAATTTAAGTCCCATCACGGTGCTCCCCTGCTTCAAATCATCCAATGCGTTCCATCTCCCGTCCCAGAAAAGCTGAAGTCCTTATTGTGGCGGAAGCTCTGTGTTCCCCCTTCATTATTGCCCGCCCCCACCCCCACCTTGTCCACCCTCCCCGTCTCCTGCTCTCTCCATGCATGCTGGCGCTGCCTTAGGCCTCCCTTGCGTGCCCTTTGCCTCATCCGGGTTTTCTCCCGAGCATGGACCACCACCTGTCGCAGAGCGTCTTTATCATCAGCACCGTTCTTTCCTTCTGGAATGTGCGCTTTGTGAGGGCTGGCACCTTCCGCCTGGCTCTCACTCTGTCTCTAGAGCTACAGTGACACCCTGCACTAAGGGGCATTCTGTGACTGAAAGAGTATGGCGTGAATTGAATGAGGGCGTTCTCTTGCCTTGTCCGGGTCTTTCCTCCATCTGTCGCTGGGGCGATTTCACTCCTTTGCCCTCGTCGCCCTTATTTGAAAGACTTCCGAGGCTCTCCAGGCCCTGGGAATAAGACTCACCTTTTCAGCCTGGTTCTCGAAGCCATTTGCCATTAGTCCTTGTCACTTCCTGCCTCGTCTCCCCCCCACCCTCGGGACCCTTGGCTTCCCAGACATGCCAGGACAGCTCCTCCCTGAGAGTCCCTTTACTATGTCTTCCTGCTGTGGCCCTTGATTTTCCTGAGTTTTATTCTTTTAAAATGTTTATTTCTTTTGAGGGGAGGGTCAGACGGAGAGGAGAGAGAGAATCCCAATGCGGGATCATCACAGCACAGAGCCCAACGCGGGACTCCCATCTCATGAACCGTGAGGCCATGAACTGCACTGACATCAAGGGTCAGACTGAGCCACCCGGGCGCCCCCTGAGTTTTATTCTTTCAAGACTCTGTCATTGGGGCGCCCGGGTGGCTCAGTCAGTTAAGAGAGGCCGATTCTTGATTTTGGCTCACGTCACGATCTCACCGTTTGTGAGCTCAAGCCCCACGTCAGGCTCCGGGCTGACGGTGTGGAGCCTGCTTGGGATTTTCTCTCTCTCCCTCCCTCTCTCTCTTTCTCTCAAAAATAACAATAAATAAACTTAACAACAACAACAACAAACCTCTATCTTTTTTTTTTTAATTTTTTTTTCAACGTTTATTTATTTTTGGGACAGAGAGAGACAGAGCATGAACGGGCGAGGGGCAGAGAGAGAGGGAGACACAGAAACGGAAACAGGCTCCAGGCTCCGAGCCATCAGCCCAGAGCCTGACGCGGGGCTCGAACTCACGGACCGCGAGATCGTGACCTGGCTGAAGTCGGACGCTTAACCGACTGCGCCACCCAGGCGCCCAACAAACCTCTATCTTTGCTTTAAGATTACATGAGGGAGTGCTTACCCAGGAAGCCTCCTCCAGCACCGTAACCTTTGGTGATCTGCCTGTCCCCACCCTCCCCTGGACAGCCACAATGGTTCCCTCCTGCCAGCGCCCAGGGCACCAGCTTCCTTCCATGGCTGCATCCCATCTCCGCCCCTGTGTCGGATCTCACTGGGTCCTCTGTGGCTTGCTGAATTAACACTTTTGACCATGGAGGTTATTCTTTTTAACTTACATCTCCCTAAAAATACACTGGGTTCTTCTTTTGCCCTGTTCTTAGGTGATCACGAACCTGACAATAAGGATCAGGATTTTCTTACCTCTGTTACCAGGCTAGACAATTTTATACGTCAAATTGAAGAAAAGTTAAAGCTAATTAGGATGTAGTGTGGAAGCATGTAACTGTGCAGGTAACCGCATGGGCTCTGACGTCAGACTGCGTGGGTTCCAGGGTTGGCTCTGCCCCCTACTAGCTGTGTGACCAGGGCCACAGGCTCACCCTCTCTGTGCCCCGAGTGTCTCCATCCAGGAATAGTGCCCACCTTAGGGGTGTGGTCAGGATAACATAGAATAATTACAGAAGGTGCTTTTTGTACTTCACGGCACATAATAAATGCACAAACAACAGCTACTTTTAATGTTATATCACACAACTAGAATTATCCTGTTTATGGAACTTGCTTTGTGACCCCTCTTCCTGGTCGGTGAGCATGCATCCCCACCATCACTTTCTCTGTCCTGGAGCAGTGTGGCACTGACCTCTCTGTCCCATGTCTCTCACAGCTGACCTTGATTGATCTGATTATCTATGGGTCCCTGGAAGCTGTGAACGTCCACAGCGTTCGATGGTCAAGGGTCTTAAGACCAGTCTTCCTAATTAACTTCCCTGAAAGTCGTCAGGTAAGGAAGGACATACTTTAGGATATGCAAAGGCTTGACTTTTGTTTTTGCAGAAAATTAGCCGATTCTTGTAAACGAAATGAAAATTTTGTCATCACAGATCCGAAGAACTTTCAGAAGCATCCGGAACACTCTGCCCGATATTCTCTACGTCTTCCTCCTGTTTATGTTCAGTGTGCTGATATTCTCCCTTATGGCCTTGAAGCTTTTTGGGGATAGGTGAGCACGCTGCTCTGGAAGTTTCTGCTTGTGAATCCCGCCCCGCCTCCCCCCCGCACCCCCACCCCCCTTCAGGTTCAGCCTGTTGGTGGCAGAATCTGTCACCGGGTGCCATCTTCCTCGTTCAAACACTCCAGGAGTGCTTCTGGAAGGGGAAAAGTGTATCAGAAACCACAACCTCACTTACGTGTGTGTGTTTTTCACTTTGTGTTCTTGGTTCCTCTTTAGGGGTCTTAAAACAGTGGAAGGATTGCCCTACTTCACAAATATCCTGGACATAGTGTTTGAGCTCTACGTGCTGGTCACTACCGCGAACAGCCCCGATGTCATGTACGTCCATCTTGGCTCATGTTCACGGATAGACACCTGTTACCAGGACAGAATTCGCTTTGTTAAAGGCAGCTGTCTCCAAACACCAGCAGGGCTGAGAGGGGGGGAAATAGTGATTTTCCGTTTATTCATGTTCGTGTAAAAATTTTTGAAGGATGTAAAATGTTTACGCTAACAATAGCCTACCCTGTCTATTCAAAACTAAGCTTAGATGATTTTTTTTTTTTGTTTTTAAAAAGCTGAAAGCAGCAGGAGATATCTCTTGAGATACAACTCTTAAATATGGGAGCCTACTTTCTATTCGGGATTTTTTTGCGTCTTGAATTTAAACAGCTAAGCCATCTTTCGAAAGGAATCGTGGCTCGTTCTCCCAAGCATTGATGCGCCTTTGTGGTTAGGTGAGACAGGAAAGGAATGTAGAGGTTAGTAGTTGTTGCCTTCCCCTTCGCAATGCCAATTCTCCACACACGTGGACTTCACTTAGGAGGAAAACATCATGTATTTTCTTTCCTAACGTCCTTCATATTATGGATTAAGCTTGTTTGGGGAAGTAAAATTATTAAAGAGTGCCACACTGAGTAGATACCCCTTGGGGTCTAGGGCATGGACAAGGCTCAATGCGAGTGTCAATCCCAACCAGGCCATACTGCACTTCGGGGCAGGGCGGGTTTTTTGTCCTCTAGTTCTGTGTGGGATCATCATATCGACTTGCTCTAGCTTGTTGCTCACTCTTGGGCCTGGCTCGGGACAAACATATGCAAGGGAAAGTTCTGGCCCTCCTTGTGTGCTCTTGGATCTTTCTCTCAGACCCTGGCCATGCCAGTGCCTCCAACACCCCCTCCTGTATGAAATCCAATGTCTACTGAAGGTGGAGTGAGCACACACACCTGATTTATGCCTCTCACCCTGGTGCCATTATTAATGGTGCTCCTTTCTTTCTCATTGTCCCAGAGTGGCTAGAAAATTATCTCCCTCCCCTGCACCCCCCCCCCCCAACAAGGCAGTCTGGTGTCCCCGAAGAGCCTTGAGTATAAACCCAAGCCACGCTTCGATTCCTTCTATAGTCCTGGGCAAGTCGGTCTCCTTTCTTAGGCTTCGATTGTGAAGCCACAGTGAGGCTCCCTCAGTGTGAAGGGAAGGGATGGGATCGGGAGATCGCCAAGGTCCTACTTGCTTTGAAAGCTGCTGCCTTGAAAAGGCACTAAGAAATTCAGAAGGCCACCTGTTCAGCGCTAGGGGCGGTGATGGCTTTGCGACCCCATCACACGGGACCGCGCCATATGGGGGGAGAGTCTGAGTGAGAGAAGCTTTTGCCGTGCCCTGTGCCCGTGGGTTGTCCATGTGGGATGGCAGCTGAGGTCAGCCTTCTATGCACTAAGGACCTAGGCTGTGAAAAACCGTGCAACGTAATTCTGTCCTTCTAGGATGCCTGCCTATAACTTCAATTGGTGGTACTGTCTGTACTTTATAACCTACACCATCATCAATACCTACATCTTCATGTCCGTCTTTCTGGCCGTGGTCTACAACAATTATAGGAAGCACTTAAAGGTAAGGTGCATGAGCGGAAGCGGGGTGGGGGCAGGCGAGGATAGGCACACGGGCTAGGTGCCGTGCCAGGGAGGCCGGCAAACGCATTGGTTCAATATTTGAAAGGGTGCTTTTTCTTTTCGCTTTGGCCAATCTGAAGACTTATTTGGTGCCTTTGCTCTATTCTGCTGGCGTGGGTGGTTCTTTACCATTCTTTGCAATGGGTCTGACAGTGTTTCTGAATTTTATGTACAGTGGCAGGCTATTGCTTTACTCATTGCTTTTAAGGCATTCAATTGCTCATGGTTCCTGGAAAGGTTTTGTTAAGAATGGGGGTTGGGGATGTTCTCCAAGCTTCCACTCCTTTTTGCCTCTCCAGCAAGAGCAGAAACTTCTTAAAGCCAGCGGTTTCTGCCCCGGTGCCTGCCTGTTAGATTTACGTCTGGAGAATTCCTGGAGGCGTTGGGTGGGCGGAGGCTTCTGAGTCCTTGGGGGTGGAGGATGTTTTATTTACAGCCTGGAATCCACCAGGCTGCCTCAGCCACATCACCTGCCCGCCCTCCACTGCACATATCTTTGCTGGGTTGTTTTTTCTTGTAAAACTAGTTGCACAGGGAAGCTTTTCACCAAAGGATGATTTTCCTGAAGGGAAGACATTGGCTTTTGGCTTCTGATCCTTTTGGTTCTGTTCTGAATTTTTCATTGCATAGGGAGGGTCCCACCGGGGAGCAAGGAGAAATTCAGGGAGAACTTGAATGTTTGCAACTATGGAGAAGCAGGTGGTGGGGCTGAGCCTGTTGGTGGCAAAATGGCCTTTGAAGGTGACTGGCTTGTCCACATCCTGAGCAGTCTGTGTACTGCTGGGACTTGAGCTGCTCCTGCCCCAGAGGCCAGGCCTCCCAGAGACCCTCCTATCTCAACTTCCTCCCTCTGGGTGGAAGGAGGTTGTCCCAGAGAGTCTGGTATGCTTCTCCTCTTTTTTTTGCTGCTGGGCAGAACTGCTGCTGTACCTCCCCCAGCCCCAAGGAGGTGTTTCTTTGGGTAATCTTCTGCAACAGGGATCAGTCAGCAAATGTCTTAAATGTGCTTTAGGTGCCCAGCACCACACAAAATTCTGAGGAGTCAAAAATTATTAAGACACAGCCCACACCCTCTGGGGTGCCTGGGTGACTCAGTCGGTTAAACGTCGGACTTCGGCTCAGGTCATGATCTCATGGCTCGTGAGTTCGAGCCCCACGTCAGGCTCTGTGCTGACAGCTCAGAGCCTGGAGCCTCCTTTGGATTCTGTGTCTCCCTCTCTCTCTGCCCCTTCCTGCTTGTGCTCTGTGTCTCTCTCTCAAAAATAAATAAACATCAAAAAAATTAAAAAAAAATTATAGTCTAGCTGTGTAATCAATTAAGTGATGACAGTACTACGGGGAGCAAAAAGAGTGGGCGTCAGGTGGCTGATTGTAACCCGAGGAGGGCTGTGCAGCAACCCCCACCCCCCCACCCCCGCTTCTGGAAGATTCCCTGTGCTCAGGCCAGATGGCAGCTCCGGGCAGGCCCTGCTGTCTTTCCTGGCCTGGACCTCTTCCTTCCGGACCACTCCTGGCCTAGTTTCACTTCCCTGACTTTTCTCCTCCTCCCTTCTCTTTCTTGATTGACTTTAATGGTAGATCTATCTTCTCCCTCTCTGGGGTCTCCCTGTGTCTCAGCAGCACACCCGATTTCCTTCCTTTCTGGAAGCTTCCTTCCTCCTGGGCAGAGTGGAGTTGGGACCAGTCTGCCTCCTGCTGCTCTGTTTCTCACCACACAGATTATCCTTCACGGGCTCCCTCATTTGAACTTGGTAAGACGAGTTCTGTTTATGCAGACGGGTCAGCTGTGTGTACCTGCAGCCGGGGAGGGATTACGTACCCGGCATGTTAAGAGACCCAGCGGGGCCTTCTCTTTGGCTGTTTAATTACCTTGAAATGTTTAGGGTAAAGAAACAAGGCTTTCTTGAATCTTTCTCTTAAAAAACACAATTCTATTTTTTAAAGAATGAGATTCGCAAACTGGCGTACCTGAAACGTCACAAAATGATAGAGGCGTTCAACATTCTGAAAGTCAAGGTGGGCACAGAGTTTGTGGTCATGGAGGCCCAGTGGAGGCGGCTGGCCAAGGTCGTGGCACCACACATCAGCGGTCCCCACCTGGAGCTCCTCTTGAGGATCTCCGACGAGGGACAGAAGGGGCACGTGGGTAAGAAGGTTTGGCCGCCGACATTCCTCTTGGCTGTGTTCAGAGCGGGCAACTCCTGGGGCACCTGGGGGGCTCAGTCGGTTGAGCATCCGACTCTTGATTTCGGCTCAGGTCATGATCCCAGGGTTGTGGGATTGAGCCCTGCGTCAGGCTCTGCACTGAGCGTGGAGCCTGCTTTGAGTTTCTCTCTCTCAACCCCCCACTCGTGCTCTCTCTCCAAATTAAAAATAAATAAATTTTCAAAGAAGTGGGTGGCTCCTAAAAGTGATTCGTAAAACAGCAGTACTGTTTTCTTGTTTTCCTAAATTTGCAAATAAAAATGTGTATTGGCACTCCCCGCTGGCAATAATCCAGTGGAATTCGGGCCCTCAAAGCTGTGTTCGGACAGGGCTGTCCCCGTGGGAGTTGTCACCATGAGCCATCCCAAAGCCTTTACCTTGTAACGGTCATTCCACCACTGACTCTGCTTTAGGGACAGAATCTAAAATCAGAAGAGAGCTGTGGAAAGAAACATCTACATTGCATTCCATATTTGAAAGTAAAAGGTTGAAAGTAGCCTAAAATTCATGTATTAATGGTCGGTGGCTAGTATGAGTAACACTTCCTATCTATGGCATGCTTATCGTGTGTGAGCCATTGTCATGATTGTTTCCTGCACGTGGTGTGTACGTGATCCTCCCCCTGACTCACTGAGGGGGGGATTTTTGTGATCCTCATTGGTCAATGTGGAGACTGAGGCTGGGAGAGGTTAAGCAGTTTGCCCAAGGCCATGCAGCTGCAAAGTGGTAGAGGCCATCTGACTCCAAGGCCCATGTTTTGCATCATTGTGCTAAACCGCCCCAGATTCTGATAGTCACATAATGGAAAATTTTGGCGACATTAACAATGACTGTGAAGATAAGACAGCAATTCAGAAAGATGTGAGGTGACTAAAATACATCCCAAACTGTGAAGCACCCTCATTTCACCTGTTTCAAGAGAAGTCTAGATGGAAACCCACCAAAAGGGAGCGGTAAGTGTGACAGGATGTAAATTTACATGAGATGAGGACTCTCAGACTAGTCCCAGAGGAGCCATAGGCTTCCTTAGGGCTCTGTGCACGCGTAAGAAGGAAAGCACAGTGATTCTCTGGAACTTACGTGCAAAAAGGAGAATGAAAAGACGCGTGTAGTAAGATACCGCTAAATGGGTGGTATCCATGTCTTCCAGTGAGAGTTTTGGACCTTGGCTGGAGGAAGGCCTTTGCCCTCTTGAATTAGCAGGATTTGGCTTCCTGCTGAGCCCTGAGCATGTCTCCTCAGCCACCAGCTCGAAGTTGCGGCTCCGAGTGCCTGGTCAGGAGCCAGGCTTCTCAGAGCCTGAATGACTGCCTTGGTGGCCCCCGTTAGGGACCGGTGGTGGTTGCCTGTGCCCTTCAGCATGCCGGGATTAGGGTTCTGCTAATGGTGGCGAAGGGTGACTGGTCCCCGGGCAACCCCTGAGCACAGTGCTTTTTCATGTCCAACCTGCCATGGACTGATAAACAGCAAAAATCAACACTCAGAAAAATGAAGTTACAAAGTGTAAAGTCCAAGTCCCATTTTTTCATCATTAGAGTCCGTGGACAAGATCCTGGCAATTGTTCTACAAGTTTCTGTATTCAGCACTTACCCCACAGAGGGTGGAGAAGACACGGACAGGGCCAGCTGTGGCCCAGGGACATCTGTTTGAGGACTACTACTCTTGACCTTAGAAGAGAGGGTTGGGACTTGGGTCCCCTTGGAGGTCCCACCCCACAACCGGGGTGGAGTGGCTGGTCAGTTCAGTCCAGGTGTTCCCAGACTTCGGCCCCTCTGGTGTTGAGAATTCTTCCCTGATGGTTTAGTAGCTTTGCTGCTTCTCGATGATTGGGACCCTGAACATGTTGATGAATCTTCAGGGCTTTCTCAAATTTCTTTGCAATTCCTTCTGTAAAGTGAGTTCCTGGATTGCCATTGAAAGGTGAGGTGTTCCAAACCTAGGGCTGGGGGCTTTTCGAAGTCTTTGTCTGTCAGGCATGGGGAGGCCTATGCACTTGGGTATCGCCTGCTCATCCAGAAAAGATACACATGGTCACTAGGACATACACGAACGTTTCTTTGTTGATAAAGTCAGTCCAACTATTGGTAGTTGTTTCCCAAGTGGGAGTACGAACTGCTTTTCTTTGTCTTGACAGCTTCTTCCATGTTCTGGGCTATAAATAGGCTGGCTTTTAAACGATACCATTCAGCTGTGGCAGGGTAAATATGGAGCTTACCAAACACATCCAAGTTCTAATGGCACCCCTACTTGTTTGGATGTATCATTCCATGAATTACATGAGGAAGAGGAGGGAGGAGCTCTTTGATGCTCCCGCACAACTTTCTGGAGAGTGCCAGTGAAGATCTGTGTATAAAACACCACCGCCACCACGTGTCCATTGGCAGAGGCTCTCCTCCGAATGTGGGTTGTGATCTGGCACAGGGTGAGGTCTGTAAGAGTTACCAAAGGAGGCCGGTCAGGGACAAAAGGGAGCAGAGGAAGGGAACAGAGGCATGGCCAAAGCCTGCTGTGCTGTAGAATGTTTTCAGGCTGGCCAAGGACAGCCATAGCAAGGGGAATGTGTGGACCACTTGACATTATAACTCTTCCAGAAGTGAGAGGCCTCACGTCTTTCCAGGGGTCCACAGTCATCCTTGAGATAATGGAAGTCAGTAGAAGTGTTGCAGACTTGTGAGAAATAAGAGAATCTCCTCGGGAAAGGGCTCCAAATCCAGCTCCCTGGGGCAGAATATAGAGATGGAAATGACCAACCTTCCCTACCTCATGCGAAGAGTATAATGGGCCTGTTGTGAATTTTATCTATTCATGTTAATGTTCATGGCATACACATATAGTCAATACCAATGAATATGCTTAAATGCCAGTGTGATTTGAAGCTTGAAAACTCTTTTTTATAGAATGATGTAAGACAATTATTATATAACATTTTAATGTGGGTGTTCTGAAGAACAAATATGTTTATACATAGGGACGTAGCGTTTTAATTTCTTTGGAAGTCTTTAGGTAAATCCAGACTCTTGCCTATTTATCTCAACATTCATTAGTCCAATGCCCCCAATTCAATTAGTGACTTTTTTTTTTTTTTGAGAGAGAGAGAGAGAAAGAGCGAGAGAGAGAGAGAGAGAGAGTGCAAGCTGGGGAGGGGCAGAGAGAGAGGAAGACACAGAATCAATCGGAAGCAGGCTTCAGGCTCTGAGCTGGCAGCACAGAGCCCGATGTGGGGCTCGAGCTCGTGAATCGCAAGATCATGACCTGGGCCATAGTCAGACGCTCAACCGACTGAGCCACCCAGGCGCCCCTAGAAAATACATTTAAGAAACCATAAGTAGTTGATCCACTACTGCTGATATTAAGGATTTGTCAGAGAAGTAAAAACTCTATATGCTGTGTCCACATAGCTGAAATGAGTAACTCTACAGGGCCTTGTGATTTCTTTATTTATTTGATGTTTATTTTTAAGAGAGAGACAGTGTGAGCAGGGGGAGGGGCAGAGAGAGAGGAAGATACAGAATCTGAAACAGGCTCCAGGCTCTGGGCTCGAACCCACGGACTCTGAGATCATGATCTGAGACGAAGTCGGATGCTTAACCGACTGAGCCACCCAGGTGCCCCAGGGCCTTGTGATTTTCAATATTGTGTGAGATTTACACAAGTTGATTGATGAAGATCCAACCTTTAAAACCACAACAGTTTATATTATGCCACATGGTTCTAACCCATGGTTAGATTTATGAACACCTAGATATTAACTGAGATCATGGCACCCACCGACCTATAAGATAAGGATGAGGGGTGTGAGAAGTTCCAGCCATTTTAGCCTCTTTGGAGAAAAGAAATTTTACATGAACTAAAATGCCATATTTGCAGTTTTTATTTACACTGAATAAAATCAGGAAAAAGACATGAAGCCACATTTTAAACCCTAAATCATAAAACAACTTAGTCTACTAGTTTTTCTTTATTGGGAGCATTAAGTCAATTTGGATTAAGATTTTAAATTGTTTTAGTTTGATTAATGAAGTAATTTTATAATGTTTTAAGTTTTAGTCAGATGTCTTTAGATTTAAACTTTTTAACCAGATCTTTAAAATGTATCTTTTTTAAATTAAAAAAAACAAATAAATTATAAACCATAAAATGAAGTAATAAAAATAAATAAAATGTATCTTTTTACCAAAAAAAAAATAATAATAATGAAGGTTATTCCCTCCCCACCATGGACTCTCTGCAATTAACTAACTGTGGCTCTATTGTGAATTGCACATCTTTGTAAAAAAAAAAAAATTTAACTAGGTGCAGGCACTAAGGACAGTAAATAAAGTGACGGTTTCCATCTGAGTTTCTTAAAAAATTATAGAAATGCTATTTAAATTAATAGTTCATTGTTTTATATATTTTATGATCATAGGGGCCGGACTTTATAAACCAGTTTGTTAATTGGGGGTTGTATTTGGAAGACACATCTGTCAGGCAGAGAATCATGTTAAGATTGGTTCACATAATATTTAATTTCTCTAGCATTTTTAATATATTTGTACAAGCTAAGAATTTGTCACAGGTTTTGTTAGAAGAAGAAAAGGCAATCGTGGAGCTTGAAATTCATTCCTGCCCCCCCCCCCCAGGGTGTTTTTGTTTGTTAGTTTTGTTTATTTTTTTAAGGGATAGCACATTTCAAGCGTAAAGAATTTTTCACTGATTTCTTTTTTTTTTTTAATTTTTTTTTTTAAACCTTTATTTATTTTTGAGACCGAGAGAGACAGAGCATGAACAGGGGAGGGTTCTGAAGCAGGCTCCAGGCTCTAAGCCATCAGCACAGAGCCCGACGCGGGGCTCAAACTCACGGACCGCGAGATCACGACCTGAGCCGAAGTCAGACGCTTAACCGACTGAGCCACCCAGGCACCCCACTGATTTCTTCATCTTTGGAGGATTCTTAGGCCTCTATTCGGAATTTAAGGAATGACGTGTTTGCCTTAAAACAACAAAATTAACAATCCATTGGGAAGTGTTTCCCTGCGGGGTCGGCAGCACTACCACACGCCGGGTGGCTTAAACCACAGAAATTTATTTCCTCACGATTCTGGAGGCTGGAGGTCCAGGACCGAGTTGCCAGGGGTTGTCCTCTCCCCTTGGCTGGTCAATGATTGCCTTCCTGCGTCTTCATGTGGCCTTCCCTCTGTGTGTCTGGGTCCTAATCATCTCCTCTTGTGAGGACGCCAGTCATACGGGATTAGAACCAACCCAATGGCGTCACTTTAAGTTACCTCTTTAAAAGAGGCCCCTCGCCAAACGTAGTCACTCTCTGAGGCCCTTGGAGCTCAAACTTGAACACGCTAACTTGGAGGGGACACAGGTCAGCTCATAAGACCTGGTTTTCTGCTCCTGGCCGTAGATTGTTATCCTCCTTGAGAACTTTCTTCTGTCTAAGGTTAACCTCCCCCAGCCCTCCACACAGATAATCTTTGAAACCTCAAGTCCTACTGTCACTTTGTCAAAAGCTTAGACTTGAGAGCATTTGCAGTTCTGGAAGACAGAACTGCAGTGTTTTTATCTCATCTGCTGCAGACTTCCCCGCTCACGCCATGTGACCCCCTAGTCTAAGGCTCCAAGGCCACTGGTGGCACCACATTGACACAACTCACCTGAATGTATTTCTCTTCTTCCCTAGTGGCCCTGCAGACATTCAGCGGAAGTGGCTCATGACCTTTTGAGCAGGTTAGAGGCAAGTGAAGGAGGTAGGCATACACCCTCGAGACATACCCACAGGACCCTGCTGTCTACTGACTGGCTCATGATTTGGAGTCAGCGAGAAATCTGGGTCCTCAGCCCTCAGTTCTGAGCACTTCAGAGATGTGGCAAAAAGAAAGTGCCAGTGAGCTTATGGCTCAACAGACTTCCCAGCATTTTACCTTTTACCAAACAGCGGTGTTGATGTAAATATTGTTACCGGGGAGTGGGGGGCACCTGGGTGGCTCATTCAGTTAAGCATCTGACTTTGGCTCAGGTCACCATCTCACGGTTCATGGGCTCAAGCCCCACGTCGGGCTCTGTGCTGACAGCTCAGAGCCCGGAGCCTGTTTCAGATTCTGTGTCTCCATCTCTCTCTCTCTGCCCCTTCCCCGCTCACGCTCTATCTTGCTCTCTCTCTCTCTCTCTCAAAAATAAATACTAATTTTTAAAAATATAAATATTGTTACCAGGGCAGACACATCTTTACAGAAGACAGCCAATAAGATCTGTCGGCTTTTAAGAATCACAGGTTGTATTTTACGGGACATAGCAGTAATTTCTAATGTCTGATTGTCCAAAAGTCTCCTGGGTTCAACTAATACTTTCAAAAGCAGTTTTAATAACAAAAAGTTGACCAGAATTACATGCTTCACAGTGGTCACCAATACTTCTCTGAACATTCTCCCGCTTCATCAGCAGTTATGAGCATTGTGGTTTCTAAGGCTAAACACTGGAATTTTATTAGTACTCAGTGTTAAAACTTAATCCAGTATTAAACTGAGAAGCACAAACTTACAAATATGGGAAGAAAACAAAGAGAATATGGAGAGAATAATGTATCTGCAACAAGGGTTGGCAGACGATGGTCCACAGGCTAAATATGGCCCACCACCTCTTTCTGTAAATAAAGTTTTATTGGAACACAGCTATGCTCATTCATTTATGTATTGTTTATGGCTGCTTTCATGCTGCTCAGCAGAACTGAGTAGTTAAAACAGAGATCACATGACCTACAAAACCTAACCTATTTACTGTCTGACCCTTTACAGAAAAAGTTAGCTGACCTCTGATCTCCGACATAGAATGTCAGATGGATACAAGTGCCTTAACATAAAATTACTATGGTTTTGATTCTCCTTGTTTTTTCTTGTTCCACTGAATCTTCCAGATTAAAAGATGTGAACCCAGTGAGACTAATAGATTCCCTTTTGGTGTAAGTTATTTAGTGAATGATGTTTTGACTGGATTCCCTGTCTGTAGGTCACCCATATACTACCCATGGTTGTCATGTCATCGTCCCCCTAACCACTGATGGTGATCCAGGTCCCTGGATCCAAGATACCCTGGCACCTAATTCTCCAAGGCTACATTTCTGCCTGAGCAGGTGTTACATGCCTTTGGCTTTTGAGACATGTATGTATATTTTCCTTCTAACTCTGAAGACCCAGGAACTTAGATATCCTAAGATATCTATGTGTGTTTTTTCATCTAACTTGATGGACTGCTGTTCTTTCATGTTCTTGGGACCACAAAACTGTTAGGGAAGATAGCAACATGAGTGTGTAACATCACTCAAGTCTGTGTCTGATTCAGGCTCCTCGCTCAGATGAGGCCACACTTCTGACGGGGCCGAAGTCTGGGTTTCGGCTGATGGCAATTCCTCATCGTCTTTCTTGCATAAACCACGCTATGGTGATAAGCGTATAGCCATCGTTCATCATTTACTCCCGAAAACTGGAATGGAGCTGCAGACATCTGCCAGGCTCTCTGAATGAGAAGCCTTCTGGGATTTAAAAGCACCCGCCCCAACCTGGCCCGTTGTCTCAGCTAGACCTGATCTGCACCGGCAATTTCTTTAGCTTTCTTTAAATTTTCCAAACGTTGACTTCGTTTCTAAACTTTGTTTTCAAAGAAAACTTGGAAAGAAGTTGTAGGAGGTTACAAGAAGAAGCAGCAACATTCTTTACGTAGCCTGATTTGATCCGTTGATGTGATATTCTTTAGGTTGTATGGAGCAGGAGGTCATGCATGAACAGGGTTGAGGACCAGCCCAGTTGACTCCTGGCCAGCATCTGACCTGTCTAGCAGGGGGGAGGTACGCGGGGTGGTGGAGAAGAGCCTGCTGGCCCTGGGCATTCGGTGGGTCTGGAGAAGACCAGCTCAGCAGTCATGCGGGTCCAGGTTGGTCAAGAAAGCCCCGGCGAATCTTGGCCTGGCTGGTGAGCCCACTTTTGGAGAAAGCTGTTGGTTTGAGTGAATCCCCGAGAAGGGGAAGAGAAGACGATAGGGGATTGAGGGGAAGGGTGTGGATTACACCTACCTCGGAGGCTTGGTGGAGAGAGAAGGGAAGGAGAGTTGACGCTGGAGAGGCAAGTCAGGCAGAAAGCAGGGATGGCCCACGTGAGGAGGAAGGTGGGTGGAAGGCAGGGAGTGAGGCAGCGGCATCTGTGAACTGGTGAAATCACATGCTTGGGTTGGCTGCCTTGGGTTGATTGCAGGTCTGAGTGAGTACAGGTGGGGGTCTCTGCACTGGCTGGCTCCTTGGCCTTGGGCCTTCCCTTTGAAGCTCCAGATCTTCACCTAGGCAAGACAGATCCAAGAGTCTACGCTGATTTGGTATCACCCTTGGAGCCTTAGCGACACAGTGGCTGTGTATTGGGGATCTTTTTTTTTTTTTTTTTAATTGCAGACAAAGTGAACTTTCTACGCTTGGCCGATCTCCTCAACATTCAGGTGGTCACCATCAACATCAGGAGACACCCACTGGAAGACTGGATGCCTCGGGTATACCGGTCATCTGCAAGCCTCTTGGTCCAGAGGATGGTTCAGCACAGGCAAGTGAGATGGGGCCAGTTTTCTCTCAAGTTACTTTCAAAATGGAGGCGTTTGCAAATGCTGTCTGGACTGAATACATTTCATTCTTGAAATTATAAATCAGCCCCCTGCTTGCTGCTTTTGGTTTCTCAGGGAGGCTTGCAAAGGGTTCTGGATGTGTTTGTTCAAAAGGACAGGCTTCTGGATTATGCTTCCTTCTGCCCTATTTCCTAAGATGCCCAAGGGCCACAGACTAGATGTGCTGTCTGAGCCAGAAAAACTGACCGCTCTCTGAAATCAGAAGGTTCTAGCCTCATCTCGAGTGATTAGGAAGTTGATGTCAGATATGGCACTTTGACTTTGTAAAGTCTGTGGTAAGAACTCCTGAATTAGAGTCATTGGAATGGTCATCAAGAAGACCATCAATTCTTTTATTCTCAAGCAAATGGACTCCGGAAAGAGGCATTCATTGTGGTTGCAGATCGTATATTTCATATGCGTGGCACAGAGTAATCCGTATCATCAGAGGCTCGTCCTCTTGCTCTCTGAATTTAGTGTTTCATAGAAGAGAATGGTTCAGAAGTCCTTGAAAGTGTCTCAGCCTGTGACGCAGGCACCCCGTATCCCTTTTCGCTGTCCATATTTGGTATTTATCAAAGCCCTTTATGTAGAGACTTCTTCCCATTACTCCCAGCCTTGAATTACTGATGTGTTTCATGTACTGGATGCTTGTGTGTTCACCTGAGGCATCCTGAGCTGGGTCCTGGGTCTAGAGCTTCACAGAGAACAGTGGGGTAGGAGCCCCTCTTGTCTTCCCAAGGGTCACCCCGTGTTCTCTGACGCACAGGGACAGGCACCTAAGCAAAGAAGCCTGCTCTGTAGTTGAAGAGTCGGGTCAGAGCCCAGCTATCATACTTTTTCACCCATCTCCCCCCAGACTTGGTGAGGAGGATGGACATATCAGTCCCCTGGAAGGCTATGTGCCTTAGGGGTGAAGAGGCTTTCAGAAGCTTTCTTAGTTAAGGATGTTCATTTTCTAGGGACGAGTAGCAGAGGTGTAATGATCCCGTGCTGAGCCCTAAACCCTCTCCTTGCCCCAGTTCTGCCTAAGCTTTCACCTGATCCAGGGACTATGCCCCCAGAGGGGAACCTGGAAAAAGCACGCCTCTATACCCCCTGCTTGCTGAGTCTTCATGTTCTCCTTGGCTGGAAGGGCTACACCAAGTATCAGGGTTGGCAGGTGAATTTCAGGACCCTGGCCGTGCCGGAACCTTTACTTACTTGAGTCACAAGTGTGCATGTGTGTGCGCGCGTGCATTGGCGGGACGGGGGTTGGGGGCATCTCGTATTCATCACATTATTGGGAAACAAAGTAGCCCCTCTAAGGCTCTGAACATGCTCCTTTTACGGAAATGTGTGATGACGGGATCTCTTCTTTTCTTCCCTCGTGGCAGGATTTTTGTCTGGGTTTATGATGTCATCATTCTAATAAATGCCATATTCATTGCTCTGGATGAGAGAAACCCCTTCATTTCCTACGCAGAATGGCTTTTCCTTTCTCTCTACATTATTGAAATTCTCCTGAAACTGTACACATACGAGCCCAGAGCCTATTTTGACAGAAGGCAGTTCTGGAACTGGTGAGCATGTGTATTCTGGCGTGGCAGGGGGTGGAGGGAGCAGAGGCCCTGGGCGACGAAAGGGGGTTTTCTCTCAGTGTGCGGAATATCGTAGTTTTTCAAGCTCCAGCTGCCTGGTTTTGGCGCATCTTATAATGAAATCTTGGGGGGGGGTGTGTGGAAACATCTGGTTCAGGCAAAGCTGTTATTTAGGATGTGAGTTTGAACTGACTCTAGCTAAAATGAGAATCGCAGATCATGACATCCTGGATTTGGAAAGGACCTTAGAACATCATACCCAATGAGGCAGTGCCTTCCATAGCTGCCTCAGCCCACTCCGTGGTCTTTTTATCAGAGAAGTTGGCAGATGTGGCTGGACAGTGAGACCGCCAGTAAGCTTTTTCCCACACTGGGTGTGTCACCTGTGGCCCTTTCTTCTCCAGGCTGTGTACCTCCTGGTCTTGAACTATCACCCACATGCTGTAGACCATCTCAGATGCACCACGTGCATTGGCGGGGTTGGATCTTGGTGGTCACTGCTCTCGGTGCCAGGAAAGTCACTGGGGATGCACGTGTGGCCAAAGAGGAGCTAGTTATTCTCGTCCAGTGCTTTGGCACGGCTGTCCTTTGATACTTCTGTCAGGAAGAAAAGTGACGATGTGATGAATGTCCCCTTTAATTAAAAAGTTGCAATGTACCCAGTAAAATTAATACCAAGAAAAATTATGCCATGCATTCAGAAAATGTGTCCAAGTATTCTTGCAAGGACACGGTAAAACCTTGGACTGCGAGTAGCTTGTTCTGGAGTGTTCCGCAAGACGAGCAGACATTTCTGATAAATTTTAACTTGATAAACCAGCGACGTCTTGCAATACGAGTAGTACATGACGCCGAACATCACGTGATCACGACTGAGCCAGTGGTTCTTGAATTTCACTTTGGTATCCAAGGGCTTTGGATTGCAAACATGTTTCCGGAATGAATTATGCTCACAAACCAAGGTTTTACTGTATATCATTATTTTGTAAGACAAAGTAATAGGACTTGGTTGACTGCTATGAATTCCCTTGGGTGGTTCATTGGAGCAGCCAGTGAATGATCATTGGATCATTCAAATGTAGTAGTTCTTGTTTCATCTCCACTGTTCTAAAAATTACGGAAATCAGTTTCATGGCCGGCTCATTGCTTCTCATGAGACTCGATTTAAAGTTTTCTTGGGATCAGTTGTGTCCTCACAGGCCCTTCCCTTGATCCTTCACTTTGCTTCTGCACCATTAGGTTTGATACGCTGATCATCATCGCGGCCCTGGTGGCCACTGTGGCCAACACCACCATTCAGTCAGGTCAGTGCCACGGGCTCTCGGCTTCACCACCTCCTGGGATCGTGCATTCAATTGGTAGCCTTTGTTGAACATCCACCGTGCACCACTAAGGTGTTTGGGATGAGGCAGCGGAGATACAAGAGAATTCGTGAGAAAACGTTCCATGTTCTGAGAGGGATGGTAGCCTTGTTTGTGTTTCGCTGTAATTAGAGATTTCATTTGTATGCATCCATCATACCAGATAAGGATCTGGTCACCTCCTCTCCAAAACTGCCCTCAGTCTCATGGCTTAACCTCCATGTCCATCTTGGCCCCCCTGCCCATCTCGGTCCCCTCCCATGGTCCAGCTGTAGCCGGAACTCTGCATTGTCCCTTGCCCACTGCCCTCTTGTGTCTGCACACACATTCCACCACCATTGTGCACACTCCTTCCTGTGGACACAGAGGGGTTATTGAGAGATAGTGCAACAACTTCTTCTCCTTCTTCTCCCTCCTCCTTGTCCTCTTCCTCCCCTTCTCCTCCTCCTCCTCTCCCCCCTCCACCTCCTCTCCCCCTCCTCCTCCTCTTTCTCCTCCTCCTTCTCCTTCTTCTTCTTCTTCTTCTTCTTCTTCTTCTTCTTCTTCTTCTTCTTCTTCTCCTTCTATTTATTTATTTTAACAGGAGAGAGGGGGCCGAGAGAGAGGAAGACAGAGAATCCCAAGCGGGCTCTGTGCTGAGGGCCTCCCCAATGCAGGGCTCCGTTTAACAAACCGCGAGATCGTGACATGAGCCGAAATCAAGATGCAGACACTTAACCTACTTAGCCACCCAGGCGCCCCAAGATAGTGCAGCCTCTTAACATAACTCTATGAAGTGAATATTGGGGAAGGAAGGGCTTGTTGAAATGTGTTCTGTAGAACCTGATCCACAGTCTTTCTTAAAGACGGTCTGACATCTACACCTCCTCTCATGATTCTCTAGCTCTAGGGGTGGGAGGGCACGCCCGGTGTGGTTTTGGCGGGGGTGGGTGGGGGGGGTGAGTGATTCCAGGAGCACTTACTTCCTCATTGCTCAGAGCCACTGCCCTGGTCTTGAAGCCGCATCTCTCCCCAGTACTTACGGGGTCTCAGACCTCACTGAATAAAAGGGACGAGCCAGAGGCACCCATAAAATGGAATGTTACGTGATGGTGGGGTTTCTTTTGTTTTTCCTAGCAGGAAAATACAACAGTCAGCAGATACTGGATATTGTGTTGATCTTGAGGATACTCCGGCTCTTAAGGATCATTGTCAGCATTCAGAGGTAAAGATGGGGCGACGTGCACTCTGGTGGTTCCCACACTGGAGCCGACCGGAAACCCTTCCCGCCTCAGAACTATAGACGCACCCCGTTACGAAGCCGGAACGTAACCTGTACGGAGGACCTGGAGTTCGCTTGGGGCCGGGGGGGCAGTGGGGCAGGGAGGGAAGTCAGGATGGTGAAGAGCACCCACGTGGCAGCTCCCTGAGGGAGCTCTTGTCACCCACTTTCATCCCTGTGACCCCTTCCCTCAACTGAGCAGGCTGCACGGTGACAGAGTAACAGCGGCTCTGGTGGCAGCTAACGCTAACCTGAGTGTGCCCGCCGACAGCCCTCGATGTAGGGGCTTTTATCATCCTTTGTCCACAGGTGATGACGATGGAGCTCAGAGAGGTTGAATGGCTCCCCCAATGGTGCACAGCTAAGAAGGCAAACTCCTGACAGGATTTAAAGAACAGATCCAGGACTGGGGGAAGGGATATTGAACCAAACCCGCCAGCCTGGTGTCAGTTTTACTTTGCGGCTTCCCTTGGGCCACCTCTTGGTTTTATCCTAGGTTCCGGGTCATCGTGACGACCTTAATTAACATTGGGCCCACGATACTGACGTTCGGTGGACTCGTCTTGGTAAGTGGCTTGTCCTTGGTGCTGATCTACGTGAAGTAAGCGGTAAGATGCTCTTTCTTGGCAACTGTCCGTAAGCCTTATTTTAAGTGAGGAAAAGAAAGGGCGATTAAGCACACGAGACCCACTGGTTTCTAGTACTCCTTTTCTAGAATTATCCGCTGCCTGCAGACCCTGGGCATATGCCAGTTAAGGTACACCGGCGACTGGGATAGACACCAGAACTTCCGCGGCTTAACACAGTCAGTTTCTTTCTCGCCCGCGGTCTAGGTGGGTCTTCCTGGCTGGCAGGTGCTTCCCAGGGATGTAGGTTCCTTCCGGCTCATGGCTGTGTCCCCCCCCGCCCCAGACCTCAGATCCTTCTTCGTCCTGCTTGTGGCCTCAGACCCCACCTCAGGGAGGCCAGGGGGCTGGTGTCTCCCGCTCAGGAGAGATTCCGCACCGCGAAGGACGGAGCTCGGATACTGGTGGACACTCTTCTTTTTCGTTTCTGTTAGCACAGTGAGAAATCCTATTAGTACAGAAGAATGAAAGGTAGACTTCCAGTCATTTCTAGCCCCCACCTGCCTCTTTCCCAGATATGACCGTTATTCAATGTTTCTTGTTCCTCTTCCTAAATATCTCTATGTCTGCAACAAGCATACCACGGACATGCATGTCTGTGTCTAGTTTATTGTTCGGTCAAATGGAATGATCCACAAAAGGGTGCGCACCTTTCTTCCACCTCCTAACCTTGTCCCACGTCCTGGAGTTCACTTGTGTCCGTGTCGGCTCTGGGAGGGTTAAGGGTCCCACCGCAGAGGAGACTCGGGAGCACATCTGACCAGCCCCTCTACTGACAGACCTCTGAGGTTGGTCTCCCCTTGTTGCCATCACAACTGACGTGGTGAGGGCCATTCTTGTACCTGCCCCTTAGTGTGCTTCTGTACGCTGATCCGCTAGGTCAAGAGGGAGATGTGTTCAAACTTTGGACGGCTTGGTGGCCAGTTGCCTTCCCAGAGAGTGCTCCCTGTGTACCCCAAACGACAGCGCGTGACAGCCTGTTTCTCCGCGCCCTTCGCACCCTAACCAGGGGTTCATTAAGCACTGCCCTGTTTTCCAGTCTGACAGGGGAGAAGATGGCACCGTGTTGCTTTGACGTGCGTGTCTTTCGCGTTTCATGAGGCTGAGCGCCTTCTCCGTGTTCTTTTGGACAGTTTTGCTTATCTTCCCGTGAGCAGCGTGTTCATATCTTTGGTCCATTCTTCTGTTAGTTCTTAAATGTGATTTGCAGGAGTGTTTTGCCGATTAAGGAAATTGGCTATTGGCAAGTTGTTTTCCTTCTCTGTCACTTGTGTTTTGAGTTTTTCTTTCTTATCTAAAAGCTTTTTTGTTTTTTTGTTTTTTTGTTTTTTTTTGTAGATTTTGTATGTTTTGTTATTTGTCTATTTTGGGGCTGTATAAAAATTGACATTAATTATATAGCCATATTTGTTAGTCTTTTATTTTATAGTATCTCGTTTTTATGTCATGCTTAGTGGGGCCTTTCCCCACACACTTCTTTTCCCCCAGTTCCTTCATGGTTTGTTTTTTACATTTGACCCTTTCGACCCTTTGGAATTTGTTTTGGTATAAAAAACAGGGTGAAGACACAACGTTACTATATTTTTTTTCCCTGGAGGACCAACCATTATGTATTGAGTATTTAACCCACTAACTTGCTAGAAGCTTTGGTTCTGATGCATAAGCCCATGGGAGAGGTCACGGTGTGGTCCAGCTGGCTGTGTGTCCTCTGTCCCTCCACGGACAGCTCAGGCTTCTCCAGCAGAATAGCCGATCAGTCCGCCCCCTAACCCCCACGTCCACCCCCACCCTGACACTGCCTGGGACTCGGTTGGGGAGGGCAGCCCTTTCTGCTGGGCGCACGGACTAGCAATGTCCCCAGCCGGCCTCTCCAGCCCGCCCCTGGCCCCGCGATTCTGCAGCTCGGTGCGCCCCCTGGTGACCAGTGCTGCCGTCCTAGGTGGTCTACTACGTGTTCGCTATCATCGGGATGGAAGCATTCCATGGCAAAGTCCGGTTCTCTGACCCGAATTTCACCAGTCCTGATGCTCTGGTGTGTGGGAACCCAGCCTTGAAAGATTCAGCATTTGCCCGAGACAGGTACTGCAAGAACAACTTCAACGACCTGGCCTCCTCGTTCATCGTGCTGATGGAGCTCACGGTGGTTAACCAGTGGCACAATATCCTTTCTGAGACGGACCCGGCTGCCTCACCGGGGCTTCTTGGGGTGGGGCAGGGGGGTGGCGCCGAAAGTGACTTCCAGGAGCATCCGGGGGGGGGGGCACCTGCCGAGTTCCCTGCAGGTTGACGTCCTTAGCCTCCTACTTCTCGCGGGCGGCTTTGCCCTCGTGACTCACCAGGCGGCAAAGCTGTACTTCATCGGCTTCCACATCGTGGTCGTCATTCTCATCGTTAAGTGAGTCTGCTCCCGCCACGCTGGCCGATTCCACATCTCCTCCCTCCCTGAGCACGTGTAGCCGCTTTACCTCCCTTCTCCCGTGTTCCGTCCACCTGCTGTACGTTGTGGGTCGGCACTGGAAGGGAGGAGTCTTACTTGTGTCCACATTTGTGCCCTTGTTGCCTGCCAGTGCGGTGCACCTCTGTGCATAACACGCATCTCACAGTCTCAGAGGCTGTTGGGGTCAGAAGGACTCTGGGGTCCTGGCCGGTCTCCCTCCCCTCCCCCGCCCAGACCGAATCCCTTTAGAGCATCCCTGTGAATGCCGATCACCCTCGGCTCCAATCCGTCCTTCTGGCTCCTTCGAGCCTCAGAGTCTGTTCCCTTGTACAGCTACGGTCCCTCCCTGTCCTTGCGCGGGTACAATGGAACTGTGTCCCCCGATACAGTCCCTTCGTTGGCTCCAGTTCTGGTCCTGGCTGTTCTTCCAGGAGGGAACTCAGCTCAGCTACTGTTTGACAGCTGCTGTGACACCCCACCACCCCTCCACAGGGTTTCTGTTCCAGCGTCTGTTCATGCGTCACAACCTCTGGGTCTTGCTTCTTGGTTCCTCGTGGGACCCGGAGCTGAGTCCCCTTGATCACGGGAATGCTCTTTCAGAGAGGTTTCCCGACTGCCGTACCCCTCGCACGGCGGTGCGCCTGCAGCCCCTGGGGTGACCTCCCGGCACCACACCGTCCTTGTCACATCAGGCCTGCTTTGGCCAGCCACCACTTTACTGACTTTGGCTCAGGAATGACTCAAGAATCCTGGCCGAGGAGGGGAGGGGAAGAAACCCCGTGGGTGGCTCCGATCAGGCCTGCTCGTCCTTACACAGCCTGAATGGAACACGTAGTGGGAACAAGAGAGAAACACCTCCCTGGGTGGCTCTTACAGAGGTTGCTGGAGCGCTGGGACCCATCAGGGCCAACAGCGTGGAAGGCTGTAGGGACGTTCCTGGTCCTCTCCTCTCAAAAGTATGTGGGCGCCGTGGGCGCCCTGGGCTCCATCATCATCACTGTTAAGGCAGAAAAGGTGATGGGTCTGAGATTCCTCCCTGCCTGCACGCCCGCAGGTCAATCCGCGCGTATATACCACGCGTACACACAGGTAGAAGGTACGGCACCTTGGGTCAGAGACAAAGACGCTGTATTACTCATGGTGAAAGCAGCGGCAGAGCAATATCCCGTGTCTGTTCCCCGAACATTTGTCCACAATGAGCAGCCTGGTGAGCACCGCCTGGGGTGGGAATGCAGGAAGGAGCTCCAGAATGAGGAAACTGATCTTAGATAGGGCAGCTGGGGACCTTCCCATCCCCCCCTCTGGAGAGGGAGAAAGGGACTTTAGTTTCACCTGGAGTGGAAGCAGGCCCCCAGGGAGGGCAAGGTGAGTCTTTGCTGCCCTGGGCTCTCTCTGTAGGGGAGGCGTTGTTGAGCTTTACATCCTGGAATGTCTCGGGGGACAAGCATTCCTGAGTCGGCTCTCCGTGCCTTTGCTCAGACAGCCCAGACTGTGCAGAAACTTGAGATATTCATAGAGAATTGTCTACCAACAAATACTTGGCCTAAGCTTCCCCTAGAAACAAACCCATTTTCTTTTTTAATATTCACTGTTTAAAGAGGTTATAAAAGAAGAATGGTTTTCCAAGTGAATGAAAGTTGTGCCCAATCCTCGAGAGATACTGTTTGTCATTCCTCCCTTCTGTGTTGTATTTTCTTTGCAACAATAGGCTGCCTTTTTATTTAGGCTCACACACTCTTTGGGTCCAGGCTTCCCTGTCACCTGGACCTCGGCTAACGCCCTCTACCTCTTCCTCTTTCCCAGTATTTTCATAGCATTCATCTTGGAGGCATTTTTTGTGGCATATTCCTTAGAGAAAAGTGAAGTGGAAACTGCTATCGAGAAGAAGATTCAAGAGCTCGGAGTGGGAATCCAAGAGTGAGTATTGTGTTCCCCTTCGTGTAGCTCACAGACCTTTAGAAGCAGACTGGCCACGTTTAATCTCTAAGTGTCTCGTGACACCCAGCCTGGTCCTGTGGGTCAGTTCTCCGGGACCTTCACTGTCCGGAGCCCTGGATGTGGCTGGACAGTAACACAGGGCCTCGGCTGGGAGGACACAGGCGGGACTCAGCTGAGGGACCTGACCCTGTTCATGTCTCTTCCTCCTTGAAGAGAAGAAATGCAGGACAGGAAGCTCGTTGATAACATGGATGCTAAGGACAGTGGCTTTAGTGGGGACGATGGAGACAACAAAAGGAAGGACCTGAAAGGCTTGTACTTCAGAATTGCATCCAAAAGTAAGTTTTAAGGGTGCCTAGGAGGCTCAGTTGGTTAAGCATCTGACTCTTGATTTTGGCTCAGGTCATGATCTCACAGTTTGTGAGTTCGAGCTCCACGTCGGGCTCCACACTGCTGTCGCAGATCCTCTCTCTCTGCCCGTCCCCTGCTTGTGCTCTCTTTCTCTCTTTCTCAAAATAAGTAAACTTGTTTTAAAAAAGTAAGTTTTAACCCAATGCAAAACTTCCTCCGATCCATGCTCCTCACTGCAGCCAGAAAGATGTTTTCCGAATGCAAATCTGACCTTCGGTGTCTTAAGGATAAAGACAAGGGCAAGGGGCGCCTGGGTGGCTCATTCTGCTGGGCGTCCAACTTTGGCTCAGGTCATGATCTCACGGTTCATGGGTTCGAGCCCCGCGACAGGCTTTGTGCTGACAGCTCAGAGCCTGGAGCCTGCTTCAGATTCTGTGTCTCCCTCTCTCTCTGCCCCTCCCCTGCTTGCCCTTTCTCTCTCTCAAGAATAAACATTAAAAAAATTAAAACAAAACCAAAAAGACAAGGTCCCTTGTCGTGGCCGCTGCAGCCCGTATGTATGCCTGGTCTCTCCTTCTCTTTCTCAGCCTTTCTTCCTTCCCTCTGTGACTCGCCATGCTGGCTGCATGCCATTGATCTTTGAGTGACTGATTGGTCACCGTCTGTCTTCCTTGTAGACTCAAAGCTTCCCGTCGGGTGCAGGGCCATGTCTTCTTGCCCTCCGCTGTATCCCCAGGGCCTCACGATGTGCCCGGGACATGGGGGCCCTCAACACCTATTTCTTTAGCCATTTTATTCTCAGTGAACTCGCGGTTGGCTGAATAACCCACAGCAACCTGCGTGTCAGTTTGGTCTCTGGCCGAGGTGCCACCTCCGAGTGAGCAGCTCAGCATGGCCTGCGGGAGCCGTGGTGTGAGCAGGGCGCCCTTACTAGGCGTCACCCTCCCCCATCCTCCAGGGAGCACCTTCTCCTTGGGCTCTAGAGCTCTGGGTGGCTGAGGAGCACAGTGGGGTCCGCACCAGCACAGATGAGTGGTTCTTTCCTGACTTTTTTATCCTTTCTTCCAAAGAGCGTTTGGCTAGCCATGCTTAGAGCGTCGTCTTCGACTCAGGGGCCATCCTTCCGGAAAGCCCAGCTCTGCCCGAGTTTTCCCCTTCCGGCCCCAACACGTGCCAGTTCCGTGTGCCTTTCTCCCTCCTCCTAGAGTACAGGACCGTGGACGCCTTGCTGCAGCAGATGTTTGAGTCTGAGATTGCCCCAGAGGAGGAAGGCCCTTCGTTGGATGAGATTCTGAACTTTTCACCCGGTGACCTGTATCCCAAGAATCCCAATTTCGAAAACAGTGCATGATCCTGGACCTTTAAGGGTGCACACGTGGAAACCAAGCTAGGCGGCCATCCCTTCTGGCTTATTCTATCTAGAGGTGATTTTCCCAGCCCAGGTCGCTCTGTGCTGTGACCAGCCTGCGCATCGGCCCCTCCTGCCCTGAGCAACCAGCTGAAAGGTGTGGAAAGGCTGCTTCCGAGTGCCCCGCCTGGGGTTGTTCTGAGGTCTGATCAGGGCAGTAAGGAGGGGGAAATCTTGGAAGAGATTTTGAGGGGCACTGATCATACACATGGACCTACACGTGTGACGCCCCTTCAGTGGGTGTGTAAAAGCTTTTCATTTATTTTTATGTGATATTATGCGATTCTATTAAATCACATGCTACAGTGTTACGTGAATGAATTTTGAATATTTACATATGGTAAAGGAGTATATCTAATACAGTAGCTTTTAGATGTGGTGTTTATTCAAAATGAAGGAAAACATGAATGCGAAAATAAAATTCTGTCACAGTTGCTTCTTTTTCCAGGGAAAGCTCTCAAAGCTTTTTTTTTTTTTTTTTAACGTTTATTTATTTTTGAGACAGAGAGAGACAGAGCATGAACAGGGGAGGGGCAGAGAGAGAGGGAGACACAGAATCTGAAACAGGCTCCAGGCTCTGAGCGGTCAGCACAGAGCCCGACGCAGGGCTCGAACTCTGGGACCGTGAGATCATGACCTGAGCCGAAGTCGTACGCTTAACCGACCGAGCCACCCAGGCGCCCCTCTCAAAGCTTCTTAATGTTTATTTTTAAGAGACAGAGACAGAACGTGAGGGGGGGAAGAGGCAGAGAGAGGGAAACACAGAAACTGAAGCAGGCTCTAGGCTCCGAGCTGTCAGCACAGAGCCCGACGCGGGGCTTGAACCTGTGAACCTGAGCCGAAGTCGGACGCTTCACCGACTGAGCCACCCAGGCGCCCCCCCTCAAAGCTTCTTTAACTACATTACAATGATAGCTAGCTTTTGAGTAAATCAGTCTCCGAGGTCACTTTCTCCAGCTGGAAGTCCCCCAGTGCGGTGATGTGCTCCTTCCGGGAAATTAAAAGGGATTTATCTTATTTATTAACCGAATTTGTAACTGTGGTAAAATACCCATCACATAAAAGTTACCATCCTAACCAAGTCTAAGCGTATATAGTTCGATAGTTTTAAGCATATTGACGCTGTTGTGCAACGGGTCTCCAGAACTTTTTGTCTTCCCAAATGGAACTGCAACCGGTCAAGGCCAACCCCCTCTTTCCGCGCCCCCCTCCCCGCCCCGCCCCTGGAAACCACCATTCTGCCTTCCGTCTCCAGGACTCTGACCGTTGTGCCTTGCAAGTGCATTTGAGCGAGCGTAATCCTTTGTGAGTTGTCAGGGTATGACTCATTCTTCTGTACCTTGTCACGGGCCCCACTATAAAGGGGCCCATGACCTGAGGTGCAGTGAGACCTGAGTCATGTGTCACGTCGGGGTGACATCTGACGCTGGCTGGGGAGGGATTTCTTTTCCTTGGTTCTGAGGGTGACCTCTGGTGTAGGAGCAGGGCCAAGGTTTCGGGCACCCACTCTGGGGCCAGGTCGCCCAGTGTCATACCCCGGCTCCCCACTGAGTGGGCTACTTCATCTCTCTGTGCCCCGTTTGCTCACGTGCACTTGGGGTAAATGGTACCTCCGTCCCAGGAGTGTAGGAGTGAAGGAGGATGAGGACCAGTGGCACCCCGACCCAGCCGCTTCAGCGTTTGCTCTTACAGATTGCTGTTCCTGGTTTAAAGCCATGCCTGGGGTCCGGCATTGGTGCTTTAGAATTTTCTTACCATGACGCACCCCAGGAGGTGGGGCATTGCTGACCCCTCTGAGGGGATTTATGGAGCCCTGCCATCCTCCGGATTGCTCCTATTTCTTTGTATATCTAACATTTATTGTGATGTAAAGTATGACACTAAATGTATCGAGTGACAATTTCTTTAACTTGAAAACATGCTGGGCGTTTTTCAATTACAAACTATGCAGTCATTGTAAAAAAAAAAAAAAAAACCCAAAAAACAACTCAATGCCGAAATACAGTAAAAAGACAAAAGTTGCTCTTTCTTCTTCCTTCTCCTGACACCCACCTCCCCTTCATTCTTGCACTGACAATCGGACACCCCCCTTCCCAGTGGTGGTGCTGAGTTTGTTGTGTATCCTTCTGGAAACAGATCTACCCATTTACAGTCATGTGTATCATGCATATGAATATAGGGTATACGGCTGACCCTTGAGCAACATGAGGGGGTAGGGTTGCAAGTCTGCATAAACTTTTGACTCCCCGCCCCCCACCCCCCCAGGACCAGACTTTGCTAATAGCCTACTGTTGACCAGAAAAGCCTTACCAATAACATAAACAGTTGATTAACACGCAATTCACATGCTATGTGTATTATATACTATATTCTTACAATAAAGTAAGCTAGGGAAAAGAAAATGTTAAGGAAGTCATAAGGAAGGGGTGCCTGGCTGACTCAGTGGGTGGAGCATGAGACTCTTGATCTCCGGGTCATGAGTTCGAGGCCCACATTGGGTGTAGAGGTTAAGTAAATAAATTAAAAACAAAAGAAAGTCATACGTAAAATACATTTACAGTACTATACTGTAATTATAAAAAAAAAAATCTGCTTATGTGTGTACCTGCATAGTTCAAACTCATGTTATTCAAGGGCCAAAGGTAATTGCATTTCTTATTCTAAGAGGGATGTCATGACGTTTTTCCTACGTATTATTCAAGAATCTTTTTTTTACTTACCAGTGTTTTTTATTGAGATACGTGTGTGTTTGTACATATGCACACACAAAACGCTATCAAGTGTTCTGTACCATCAGCATTTCGTGATTCATTGAAAGCTTTACTTATTCATAGACCTATACATTGTTCCACGTGTTCAACATTAAACGGTAACAGAGTAAACCTTGTCACGTAATTTTCTTCATGTGTGACTCCCTTGGGCGGGAGAGACTGGATCCCGGTACTATGGACATGCAGCAGCCCCCATGGCCACCAGGGGGCCCCCACGGCCCCCCGCCTCCGTGAACAGTCTCAGAGCAAGGGGAACAGGAAGGAGTTGTGGCTGTGATTGACATCTTTCTCCAGGTCTGTCTTCTGCCTTTCAGTGAACTTGTCACCCCCACGTTTTGTCCCAGCTGTACACTTCATTCCTGTCTCCTTGGCAGGGGGACGGGACATGACTGATCAGACCTGCGGGCCGTGAGCCCAACTGGGGCCTGCACCTCACAGGTCTTGCCCTGGGGAGCAGTCTCTGTGTCTTCTCCACCACTGAGAATGGCAGCAATTCGAACATCCTGGAAGCCTTCTGTGGAGGATGGCAGGGTCAGTGCCCGCATGGGATCGCTTACCCCCAGACTGTAACAGGAGCTTGAAATCACTTGTTTCCTCTAAACTGTGTGTGTGGGTTTTCCGTTACAGCACCTTGGCCAGCCTGTAGCCTACCCAGCCCAGTAATGGGTTTGTCTGAAACATTCTGGAATGGAGCCGACGGACAGGTGGACTGACTTGAGGGATCAGGGAAATGGACGACCAAGGACGCTGACCTCCTGGGATGAATGGCAGAAAAAGGTGTGAGTGATAGCTTTGCAGGTGAACTTACACTGGGCCAAATGCCCGGCTCTTCAGGGGCTCTTACTTCTGATAGGCAGGAGTTATGCTTGTAGTTCCTTCATGTCTTAGGAAAAGTAAATTTTAGAATCATTGCGTTAGACCACAGATAAAATCCAGAGGGAAAGGGCACTGGTAACAGTAATCTCCGAACTTCCTATGTGAGCAGATTTTTTCTTAGAATGTGGAGCGTGGGGCCAAGAATGAGTAGGAAATGCCTGGACCCAAGATAGATATTAAATTGGAATCTATGCCGAGTCTAGCCAAAGTTTGAGCACTTGGGATTACTTGCACCCCTGCTCAGCTTTTCAGGAGACACAGATATTGAATAAGACCCAGCCCCGTCCTCAGGGAAACTTCCGTCTCATTAGCGGAGTGAGCCCGAAGTTTCCTCCCTCCCAGAGCTGACTTCGGATACCTCATCCATTTCAGTTGCCCTTTAGATGCACAGCTTGTTTCCTTGTGCAGGTAAACAGTGCATGTGTGCGTGTGTGTGTGCGCGTGTGCAATCTAGACAACTGATTTATAATTAAATGAAGATGGTTGCTATCGTTTGTACTAGGTAATGGACAAAACAAAACAAAACGAAAACTATTTGGCTGAAGTGCTTAAAGTAGCTTACTTTGTTCAGATCGAGCCTTTCTCCCTGGAGACAAGGCCGTTGCTAGGAAATCAGACTGTGAAGTTTATTTAAATAAAGCCCTTGGCATAGATCAGACACCAGATGGGCGACAGCAGTGCTGAGATGACACTGTGGTCAGGTCAAGGTTGTTGGTGCAAATAGCATGGACGATATTTGGAGTGTGAGAGAAGCTGACAACCCAGTAACAGCAAATGGGTGGATGGGAACAAAGTACAAGTCAGTAGGGGCTGGACGCCAGCGTGCCTGGGTGGCTCAGTTGGTTGAGCGTCCACTTTGGCTCAGGTCATGATTCACAAGTCGTGGTTCACAAGTTCCAGCCCAGCATCAAGCTCTAGGCTGACAGCTCAGAGCCTGGAGCCTGCTTCGGATTCTGTGTCTCCCTCTCTCTCTGCCCCTCCTGCTCACACTCTTGTCAATCTCTCTCTCAAAAACAAACATTAAAAAAAGTTTTCTTTAAATGGGGGCTGGACACCAAGTGTCCTCCCTGCCCAAGACTGAAGGCACCCACAGCGGCCTTTCCCAGATGGACACATTTCACTCTTAGTTTAGTAAACAGCACCCTTATCTTTTCTTGTCTTGTTTTCCTTTGAAAACAGCCACTTTTGAAAGAAAAAAAAAAAACAAACCACAATCTTGGTTTATCAGTGCTCGGTTATTTTGACACTTTCAGAACAAATGTAATTTTAGTTTGTTTGAGGAGGTCTGTCCCTTTTCAGCTTCCTTCCAGATTGAGTGTGTAATCAGTCATGTAGATTACATTTTTTATTTTCAAAATAAAGCATATTTTGGGATCCCATTCTATTAATTCATCCTGCAGACACATTTGCACATGCACTCAACTTTTTTGTAGCAATAAAACGGTGAAACCAATGATCTGTAAATAGAGGACTGGTTAAATCAATAAATTCACACAGAGGAATGGCAGAGAGCTGGACCAATACAGATGGGAAGATGGGCAAGAAAAAAGTGTCCTAATACATTGTGCGAGAAGAGATGGATGGATACTTCTTCAACGCGACTAAAAACCCCTACCACAGGGCAGCATCGTGAGCTCACTGGATAAACATAAGAGCTCCCGCTAAAGCAGGAGGCCGGGCTGCCCAGCGTCACCGTTTCGCCCTTTCCTAGTGGTCCTAGGCCAGCGGGAGAAAAATCACCAGCGAAAAATTGGGAAAGACATAAACATGATTTTCATACGGGGCGCCTGGGTGGCTGAG